AAAAATCCCCTCCGGCAGGAAAGGACTATCACTCCTAGAAAGAGGAGGATATTTCTAACCCAGTTATTCAGAGGGTTCAACTCAGAAGGGACCCCTGGTTTGTGTGAAAAGGGAAATGGTTTTAGACTCCTCAAGAGTAAAAAAGGGATCATTATAATCCCACAAGGGAAGTATTTAAATACAGGAAGAAAGTACTAACTTCCAGGAAACTAAGATAGTTTTATGAAACTTTATTAAGACACATTGTTGCTGAAAGAAATCTCCAAGACAAACCTCTCACAGTTAAGAACGGAATCTCTAAGAATATAAGCTTCAACTATACTCTGTTGCCTGTACAAAATATAATAATTTGTATAAACAACCAAATTTACCTCAACTTCTCATCCTCTGCCCTATTCCTAATTTGACTGCCTGTTCAATAAAATCAACCTTTCTGTTTGAACTTTACTTCATATCAAGTGTAATTTCCAAAGGGTTTTGTAAGCGGGCTCCTACGTAGTTACAATAAATCTCTGGCCTGGGTAAAAGCCAAATAACTTCTCTATCATAGGGTGGGACACGCAGAAAATTATAATTCTATAATTCAGATATGCTACTAAGGGGCTGCTCAGTCAGAGTGGGGAACTGTGTTTTGGTGGGAAAATCTGCCTCACAGAGGAGAAGAAGCAGGGGTATACCGTATATCATAGTAGCATGCTAATAGTCATGATGTTGAATGGGAATCTCCATATCCAGAAGTGATAAATCTCTGCATACTAGTGTTAGGAGGCAAGATCAGGGGTCTCCATGCCCTGTTTGTTGGCCCTCCAGGCTGGTTGCTGTGTGAATCAGGATGCTGGACTAGATAAACCACTGGTCTGATTCCATAGGACACCTCTTAAATTTACCCCATGCACTGAACCAGCTTCCACCACTGCTTCTAAGATTAGCTTTTAAAAAGTTCTTCTGCTGAACAAGATCATTGTGCAAAGTGGTTGGTAGGCAAGGGGAAGGAAATGAAGCAACCATTTTCTGTCTCATCCTAATAGGCAGTTGATCAGTATTATCACCCAAGCACAACTGTTGCCTCATGGTTAGAGTATCAGACCCAGGTTCAAATCCCTGTTCTGTTATGGAAGCTTGCTGGGTGACTTTGGGCCAGTTGTGCACTCTCAGCCTAACCTGCCTCATGGGGGTTGGTGTGAAGATACAGTGGAGGAGAATAATGTAAGCTGCTTTGGGTCCCCATTGGGGAGAAAGGTGGGATAAAAATGAAATTAAGTAAATAACTGCAAACTATATCACAAAAGTTGTGTGTAGAAGGGATTGGGGTGGTCCTGAACAGATCTGCCCCCCTTGCCTTGCACAGGCTGTTGCTCTTGCAGTATACACCTCTGTTTTTGCTGCTGCAGCTAAAATGAGAGATGGGATCATGCTTTGAGCTTTCTTTCCAGGGTATAAATTGTTTAACCCTTTCTATTTCTCTCTTCCAGGCACTGCTGGATATTGTGGGTCTATATGGGTTGGTGCTGGGCACCATGTATTCCTGGTACCCTATTAACAAGACTGCAACTGCATTGATGCTGCCTTACCTTGCCTGGCTGACCTTGGCTTCTTCTCTCACCTACTGCATATGGAGAGACAATCCAGAAAAGGGCAAGAAGAAAGAATGAGAGCATTTGGCAAAAAGGAATTGGTTGATGGAGCTGGTATTAGGGAAAGGAGTTATTGGGTACAAAAGCATTTTCCATTTCCGCATAGAGGGGTGGGGAATTTTTTACAAAAGGATCTTAATTGTTGTATGGTATGTTGTGTGGGTGCATCCTCATTTAGGGAATTCCCAATGTATCTTTTGGTCCTAAAAGACCACTGTCATTTGATATGAATAAAGGCTAGTTGGGATTAAAGGTAACCCATGGTTGCTGTTGTTGTTTTTTAAGTTGGTGAAATGGTGCTGGGAAGAGTGACCCTCCCCTACACATACACACACACATGTGCCCGCACACCCATCTAAAATACTGCAGTCCTGGTCCATAGTGGATCCCACAGATAGTTTTAGGGCCAAAAGATACATCAGGAGTTCCAGAGATGAAACTCTGTCATAACTAGTTTGAGCCTCTTTTCCTAATTAATCTATGTGGCCTAGCTTTCCTATTGACAACTTGTTTAATTGCTGCCGTTATTTCATTTAGTTCTAGATTATGACCCTATTGCCCTTGATCATGGGTGAGGAGTGTAACCCTGTTGATTCCTTTGGATTTCTCAGCAGCTTTTAATAATCTTGACTATAATATTCTTCTGAATCATCTCTACAGGCTGGGATGTAGAGGC